AAATATTTTATTTAAAAAAAGATTGGAAGAATAGTAATGATGAATTTTTATTTGATTGTCGAACTACAAATGGTATATCAAGTGTTGGTGTAACTATACATGCTATTCTTAGTTGTTGTGCTCTTCCAACTCATATTCAATGTAAATTAACTTATATTGCATTAGAAATATCTGTACGAACAGTGATTGCACTCATCACACAATATCGTCCATGTGTTGTAATTGAATCTGAACGGATAATTATTTTCGAAAAAATTGATGCATATTCAAATCATGATCTTGTACTTGAACATTTACCAATCGATCAAATATATTTATTTACGATTTGTTCACTTGCGACAATGCTTCAATTTAAAATTCAAATTAATAATTTTGAATATGATCAATGTATAACTGAATATTTAAAAACATTAATATCGATTACTATAGATGAGACTAATCAAAATGCATTATTTGATGGAACAACAAATTTTATTAATGATCAATATAATAAATTAATTTGTGATATTTATCCAAATGGTTTACCAACAGATATTTCACCTATATTAACTGCTTTATTTATTGCTCGACAAATTCCATTTGAACTTATTGATCTTATTTATGATGTACGTAACACACAATGTGAAGAATTTAGTAAACTTGGTTATGATACAATTATTAAAGATAATAAAATAATATATAATGGAAATAGACAAGATAGACAAATTGATAAGAATCTATATGCTCATGATATACGTAGTGGTGTAGCAGTATTATTACTTGCTTTATATCATGTTAATACAAATCAATGGAATAAAAATGAAGAGATAATTATACATCAATATGAACAAATTGAACGTGGATATGGAAGTTTATTGTATCAAAAATTATGTGAATTTGGATTTGATATTCGATTGATTTATGAATTATCCTCCTGACATTAGTGAATAGTTGAATCATTGAAGAGAATTTAGATATAGTTTTTAATATTATTTTAGTTCTTGTTTTGAATACATAGTTAGTTTTTATCTAATTGCTTTATTTGAAGAATTATGTCAGACTCAACAATAATGACTGATGTAAAAGCAATTTTTGATTGACTTTCTGATGATTCCGAAAGTAATGAAAATATCATCTTATTTAACTGATACATATCCTAGACCATAATATAAAACTTAAAAAAAACTTTTTCAGTTTTGTATGCACTCAAAAAGAACCAAAACGACATATCATAAAGCTAATGTTTTAGATAAATTAACTGAATAATATTCAACTTACATATTATATCGTTCTCATATTTGTTCTGTAAACATAATTAGATTTATTCAAAAGGTAACCTTACAATTTTCGTTCTGACAGCAACGATGAACAGATAAATATTTCATAACAATATAAGTTCATTAAATATTAAAAATATTCGTGACTTCTTACATTGGCATATCAACTAGATATCTATTCTCAGGTGTATAATAAGGTAATATCTTTCCAAGTGTAAGTCTCATTTCATCAACTAATCGACACCAATTTGATGTTAATGTACCTGCATGTAAATCCGCATTCGCTTCAATATATAAATCAGTCAAAAATTCTAATACAACTTGTTCCCGTTCTTTTTGTGGCATATTGGTTAATGATCCAAATACAACATTTTTTCGTGCTTGAATACTTAATAAATTATAATAACCATTTTTTTCTTTGTTCA